TTCCTATTCTACAAAAGTATTTTTTCATATACTTTTCTTTTTCTTTATTTTCTTTCTATTCATTTTTATTTTATTTTAAGTCTTATTAAAATAAAAGAAAAAGTATAAAATTAATGAACATAAAATGAGAAATGAGCTTTAGTAAAAGATAATATTGAATTAATTTTCTAATCATGAAAATTAACCAATAAAGATATCTTTTGGAAAAAAATTGAAAATGTTTAATTTGAAACAAATGAAGTGCACGTTAATTCTTGTTATTTGATTTATTTTTATTGCAAACACAAAAGTTTTTGAATATTAAAACATTATAGAAAAATAATTTTATAAAAAAATTTAAAAACAAAATTTCCAAAGGGGAGTGTTTGTGTCAATTTCCAAAACTATAGGGGTAGTGGACCTATTCAATAAAATTTGAAGGATATCTTAGTCTAGAGGGCCATTGGGATAGTAATATCAGAACCATGAGGGGCAACAGCGTAAGTTTTTAAACTATAGGGGCTAACAGTGCACATTTATCAAACCACATGAGATCATGGTGAAATAAACTCAAAATTAGTGCACAAAAATATTTTCCATTCCGTAGGTTTTTTATTAGATAAATTCGTTTGTAGACCTAAGATTCATAACCATTATATGGATCTTATGTATTTGTAGTATAAAATAAGTAGACCTTTTCAAAAAAAGAAAATCTAAACTTTTAGCTACTTTTAAAATTGCTACTTGCCTACTTTTAAATTTGTTTTCAAATTTATCATATAATACCCTTCGTACTTTTCAGTACTCAAGCCACAACTTATCTATAGTCTACTTAAAAATATGGAAACTTTTCCTTCTGTTTTCCCACCCATACGTTTGAGGCACAAATGGTAAGTGCTGAATGTTAAATCATATACCGAGTAAAAAAAAATTTCCAAACAGTATGTTGCACACTTGCACATGATAAGTCTTGTGGCAGTAAAAAATTTAAAGTTTTGAGTGGATTATCATTCACATTTTTTATTATGCGTCTCATCATCGTACTATCAAGGTGACCTAGTCGGTCATGCCATATGGAAATGTATCTTTATCTAGTAACTTCTGATTACTCACCATATATGACTCAATATGATTAATATTGGTACAATATAATCTAGAGGCTAAAGCTTCAAGCTTTTCTAAAATGTCATCATTAGAAATAATTTGTAGGTATTCTCTATTATTTTGAGTTGTAGTTTTGAGATGATAACCATTTTACCTTATATCTTTGAAACTAAAAAGGGTGTATTCAATCCAAACTCTGCAGAATTTTTTTAGATTTTAAAAGTCAGTGGGTATTCAATTGGGATTTTAAAAAATTATTTAAAATTTAGAGGTTTTCAATTGAGATTTTAAAAAGTCTTTCTAAATGTAATGATATTGAAAAATTGCTAGATTTTTAAGGATTGTTATAAAAATGGATCGTGATGAATTTTTAGCTTGAAGTATAAATAAAAAAGTCATTTGCAAATCCAACCAAACCCTTGTGGATTTTCTCGAGTCCAAGAGCAAGCCAATCTTCTTCTCCTTCGGCCAATCTTCTTCTCCTTCTTCCCCAAGAACTCATCTTCTTGATCTCATTCTCCGTGGGTGCAGGTTATTCTCTTTCATCGTCTTCAAGCCTTCAAGGCAGGTTCTTCTACACAACTTTCTTCGTAAAGAGTGTCGTTCTGATGAATTTCCTCCTGAACCATAACTTGAGTCATCTTCTTCATCATATCTTGACATGGAGGAAGAAAATTCTGAAATACTTTCCGAAACTCAACAACAACAAAGAACAGAAGCTAACGTTTGGAGACATGCCATTGCTGAAGCTATGTGGGTCGATAGACCACAAAATGATGGTAATGAGGAGAATGAAGAAGGTTTTGGTGATAATAAAGTTGAAATGGAAGACTATGTTGTTTACTAATTTTATTTTTCAATTATTTTTTAAAATTTTGAATAATGTCTTCTCTTGAGTTGTCTTTAGAATGTTATTATTGATGAGTTTTGACATACAAGAAAAATAACGGAGAGATAATAACAATTTTAGATGTAAAAACAAATCTATTGCTTATTTTATTCTAATAAATATATTATGACAATGATAAATTTTTTTAAAAATAAGCTATTTTTATTTTATTAGATTATTTTTAATTTTTTATCGATTTCATGAATAGAGTTTTTTAATAGCTAATTACAATAGTTCAGGTTAAAACAAATAATTCATATTTATGTATAAATAATCTATGGGTTATAAACAATAAAAAAAATCTTATAAAATTTTGCTAATAAAATACATTAAAATCTATCAAACTCTGCATAGACTTAAAACAATGCATAAATTTTGCATAATCCATAAACTTTAAACAATCTATCTAAATCTTTCACAATCCTAATTGAATACACCCTCATAGCTAAGTAAATTCTTTCTAGATTTACTTGAGTATAATGCATCATTTATGATTAATATGGTACCCGGGGTAATATGATGCATGCTCTTCCGTAGCCTTCGATTAGGTCACTAACACCCGAGATAGTACTAACAAGTGTTTTGATTAGAAATAATTCAGAGAAATATTTCTTATATTTTAGGATTTTGTTGGTACTACCATTATCTATCAAACATTCATCGCCAATACGAGCTCTGCTAGAGCTTATGTTCATATTTCTAGACAATGGAGATCGGAAATTTGGAGGAGAAGATTATCACGATTTTTTTTTATTAAAAAAACTCAATTCATTCTTTTTTCTTGAAGATTCGTAGATTCTACTTTGTTGGTTTCCATTTGTTGGTCTTGTGCTGCTATTGCGCCACTCTGATTGTACCAAAACAACGGCTTTAAGAGCTAGATGAAAAACAATTTGCGAATCAGATGAGAGAAAAATTAGGACTTGAGAGCTTTTGTGTTGATAAGTACTTTATTAATGATAGGTTGGGATATTTATACATGCATGTGAGGATGTACACTGTAGATAAATAAAGAAACAAGATATTCTAAAATAAGAATAATATATCTGTCATATTTAACAATAATGGAAATATTGTGAAACGGTACAAAATATGGATCATGTTTCTTTTCTTTAATGAAGAAAAAATATCTTACCTTGAGGGATACCCAAATAAGATATGTTGGGCCAAAGGTTTTGTATCGTGAATCTCTCACATGAAGGCCACACGTAAAAAAAATCACTCTAAATAGTACTACCTTCGTCCCATTTTATAACGCATGTTTCGCGATGTTTGACTGAAATTATTTTCAAACCATTTTATATGACAAATGGTATAGAATTAAAAAATAAAAATTTCATATTAAAAAACTACATCAAAAGATCTACAAAACTAGTAGTGACAATAGTATTTTATTTTATCAAATTGCTAACGAAAATAGAGAAAGAAAGTAAATGAAGTTTGACCCTGTGAATAATGAACATGCATTATAATTTGGGACAGAGGGAGTACTAAAATATAGAGAAATCATAAAAATAGAAGCTTCATGTATTGTGAAATGTCTATATACATTGACACATTACCACAGTGCAAATTCCTAATTTGGAATTAAAATATGGAACTCTTATTTTGAAACTTTTTTTATGTTTTACTCTTATCCAGAGTAATTTCTTTTTTCAAACCTCAATGGGGGCAATACCTCTAATTTAAAAATGTATGAATAGATACTACATTATAACAGAGTTATTAATAATTAAAAAAAGAATTGAACTTAAAAATATTTTTAGATAAAACAATGAATTTAAGCCCAACAGTGGATACCCATGTCATGTTTTTGGTCTTTGTTACTGGTCTGATGTATAACCCCCAAAACAAGTTGGGCTTTTTGTGTCAATCATATGGTTTAGCTTGGTCAAAATAAAAAGAAATTGATGGGGACAAGTAGTCTCTGAATGTGGTGGGGTTGTACTGGCCTAACTTTTAGGTATATTACTCTATCCGTCTAAAAATGATTTTCCTGTTTTGATTTTACACACAAATTAAAGAAAAATAAAAAATGATTTGAATTCATCTTTGTGGTTTAAACAAAAAAATATTTGTCAAAAAAGGAAACAGAAAGAAACTAGTAATTTATGCATGGATAAATAAAGAAAATGGAAAGATAAATTATGGATGGAGGGAGTATTAAATTTTATCACCCTAGTTCTTTGACGTTAGATTTTGATGTCATATTATGACATTAAGAATATTTCTTTAGAGCTTGAATTCTCAATTTCTAGTTTTTCCCATTTCTTTCCATTTTCTTCTTATTTCTTACCGTTCTTCTAGTTTCTTCTAATTTTTTTGAGTTACTTCCAGTTTCTTCCAACTACTTTTATTTTCTTCAAGTTCTTTTATGATACACACTCATTATCATTTTTTCCAACTTGTTAGTATGAATAATACCATTTTTTTGTATATTAACCTACATGATAAAATAAGAAAACATTAATATTTTATGAGAAATACGGAGTACTACATAAATTAAGTGTCGTGCAACGTAGCCAAAATAACTTTTAAATATTTAACATTTTGATGTTTATGCTAATTTTATATTCTAATTATTATTTTTGCAAAAGTAGTATTTTTGTACATGAAAAATAACAATATTTTTTATATCTTCAAGACATTCATTAAGATAACGTGATGAGAACAACAACAACAACAATAATTTATAACAAGAAGAATTAGAATGAGAATTGATGGAAAATAATACGTGGCTCGACCCACATTTCCCAATTATTTTACGAAGAACAGTCAAACCGGACCTGTTTAATAAAATGGAGGAATAATAGAATATTCTCCCGTAGATGCTCCAGCTACCCCTATAAAAGAAGGGCTCCCCTCAATGTTAAGGGAGCCAATTTCACTCTCATTTGGCCGAGTAGATGAGAGAGAGATCTTTCGAAATCACATATAAAAGAAGAAGAAGTTCTCGAGTTTACGAGGTAATTACCGAAGATGCGGATTTAGTACATGGCACATGTGTGGGGGCTATAATTATTTTTAGGGGGCAACCGTTCCATGGCGGTTTTTTCCGGGCACCAAAAGAGGGCTAAACCCAAAGGTGCATTTTTTTCCCGTGTTTATATTTTGGTGTATTTTTTAGACTAGTTTATCGTTTTAGCCGGGCTAAAACGATATACCAGTCGATAATTTACACCATCATTTTGGCGCCATCCGTGGGACACGAGCTAAAAGTCACTAGCAAGGCAAGGGAGTGGGGAGTTCAAGCCGAGTATGAAGAAAAAAAGCCAACCCAAATTTTATTTGGCCCAAAAAAAACTCTCACAATGGGGTATTTTGAAAAACAAATCCAATTCTTGGCTATTGGAGAGAGAATTGTTCTCCCATAAAAAAAAATCCAATCGCAGAGCCTTTTTTCTGCAGCTATTGGATCCACAGTCTCTTTGTATGCTGGAGCCTAAGTCGGAGACCGTCAGGCCAAGATGTTGGTGCTGAAACAACCACCTACCCAGCAAACCTTGTAAACGGCCACTCGAGCGCGTGATTCCATTCCAAGAGGGGAACCTAAAAGGCCGGCGTCAAGGGCGAGAGATCCGGTTGCCATGGACGAGGCATGGGCGCCGTCGGCGTCGTCATCTCGCGACGAGTTCGACTCTTCGGACTTGTCAATTGGGCCCAAAGCTGCTTCGTAACCTTTGGAGAACTACCTAGTGCCGAAGAGCTTTCTATTGCAGCTCGAAGCATTGAAATTCTTACCGGATTTGTACTCTCCCTTCCACCAACTCGGAACAGGGCCAAGGCCAGAGTCGTCGAAGCTTAGAATCCAGCAATTTCCGGAAAAACCACCATGGACGGCAATCCACTTGATGGAATTTTCTCTACGGCGAGCTGAACGACATCAGATGTCCTCCTCACAAACGGCCTCTCATAATTAAGCCGCTGGACCCGCAAACGTTGTGCTGGGCGATCCGACCGACTATTTCTTGCGAGGAAGTTCAACTATGCCGGTTCGTATTACTGTTCAAATAACATCTCAAGCGAGGCTGAAACCAACCATTTCCAGTCATTGAAACCAAGCATCCCCGCTGCCAAAGCTGGTCGCCAACATTGTCGCTGCTCATATCTGTTGCTGGACAAAAGAGTAGTCACATCCCTGCGGCAATCACAGATTTGGTCACCACCATTGCTGCAACTGATCAGATTGCTCTGCTCGCTCATATTCTCCACGATAGCTGTTGACATCATCCATTGCTGGGGAGAAGTTGCTGATTATTTTTCGGTTGGGCCATAATTCGCAGCTGCTGCGATTGCTATTAGACCTACTACGAGGCCGGAGGGCTAAGCCCACCCTTCAAACCTGCCGGCATAACTATTGGATGTCGTCGCTGCGGTGGGGGTCATCGCTGCTGGGAGAATCAGACCTCCAGGGGATCGATCTATTCACCGCCTTTAGTTCGCACCCTGCCTCACATCACTACGCGTCACCTTCTTCAACACAACTAGATTCGTCCGTTTTTGTGCCCCACTTGGAAGAGGTGCGGAAGAAGTGGGGAAAGAAGGGAGAGGAGAGATGCACAGCAAGTGGACATAGAAAAGAAAGTAAGATGTGGCCCTACTTGGTCATCTCAAACAAGAGAAAAAGAAAGAGGGCAATAAAATAAAACATTAGCTTTGGTCCAAAAACAAAGCTAGTGGGTCACGTGGGTTGATTCACTCATTTATCTTCATTGGGGCCCAATAATTTTAAATTGTTGGGTAGGCATATTCCATTCACATCCTCCATGAGCAATTGGACAAAAGAAAGTGGCGAGAAATCAAAACTCAAGATTGCTAAAGTGGTAGGGATCTCACATCTTTTTCAACCACAAATTATACTCCGTATTAAAGGTGGGGAACACCATTATTTGAGCCCCGCAATCCATGTGAAAGATTTTTATCATGAGGCTGGGAACTTCATTACAATCTGATGAGTAATGAGATCTTGTTTGAGGACTACGACGGGAACTAAAGGAAGACTGGGACACAGGCCCGGACCTGGCACGCCGGTTACTACACCGGTCTTGCTCAGTATAAAATAAAAAAAAAGTAATAAACCCGGAAGAGGGGCCCGGAAGAGGGTATGCCTGCAAGAGGGCTGGACCTGGAAGAAGGTTCGAACCGTACTTACACGGGCCCATGAGGTTTGACCAGTATCGGGGAATCAGCCGGTGCCGTCAAATTGATTGGGGACTAAAAGATGCCCATTAAAAGAAATAGAAGGGGATCGTCCACCGTGGCGCATCCTATTTCCCCCTTCTCAGGGAAGACTTGAACGGGGGGTGAGCTAAGGCCTTCCCGGGATAGTAAATATTAAAGGGCCATTAAAAGACTTAATCACCTGGAAGAGGGGGCCATGGAAGAAGGGTGCATTTTGGGCCTTGGAGAGGGCTCGAAACCATATGACATGGTTAATTCTCCAATGTTGATCTGGCCCAGCCAGCACCATTATCTTATTGGAAGACTGAGACACTGGCCTGGCCTGGCACGCTGGTTACTACACCGGTCTTGCTCAGTATAATAAAGAAAATATGTGACCCAGTCGAACTGGTACACTGGTCTCACGCCAGTCTTACACATATTTTCCAATAAGCCTGAGCCCAATCGAATTGGGTACACCGATTGCACATCGGTTTCAGCAAAAAAGTGAGCCGAGCTCATATCGGGGACGCCCGATTCATTTAAGCCCTCAATCTGAGGCACTTTGATCGAAGATGGTCTCCGCGAGACATGAAGATAATTACATCAGTCAGCCGGGCTAACACTGATCTTCAACAAAGCTGCTGCAACATACTCAATTCTTATTAACTAACGTCGATGTCGTCTGTATACTAATTTCGTCATGCATCGTTTACTTAATTCGTACTGACATCGGTCTCGACGAAATAACTACTTGAAGCACCGCCACTTCATCGTACTAACTCCGGTGTCGTATAACTACTCGAAGCATCGTTGCTTAATCGAACTGACATCGCTATTGTTACAATAATTATTCGCGTGAAGTTTAATCACTCTAACACCGAGCTCCTCGGTAAAGATAATAAAATTATTTGAGCACGGCATAGGCCGGTCAAAAAAAAATGTTGTACGTATTATTTTTGTAGGAAAACCTTCTGAAATGGGAGAACTAATGAAGACTCGGAGGACTAGCAACAATATCAACCGGTCAAGAATCCAAAGTACGAAGATCGAAGATAGCACTCGGAGGACTTGTTTACTTTTTCAAGTTGATGATTCTCACAACTTAAAAAAGTGGAGGACTTATTGATGGGAAATAATACGTGGCTCGACCCACATTTCCCAATTATTTTACGAAGAACAGTCAAACCGGACCTGTTTAATAAAATGGAGGAATAATAGAATATTCCCCCATAGATGCTCCAGCTACCCCTATAAAAGAAGGGCTCCCCCTCAATGTTAAGGGAGCCAATTTCACTCTCATTCCCGGCTCATCTACTCTCTCTCTAGAAAGCTTTAGTGTATATTTTCTTCTTCTTCAAGAGCTCAAATGCTCCATTAATGGCTTCTACGCCTAAATCATGTACCGTGTACACACCCCCGATATTAATAAAAATCCCCCGTTGGCAAGGTACCGCCAAAAAAGGCCCGTGGTTTTCTCCCGATTTGGGTTTCCACGTAAAAATTCCCGTGTTTATATTTTGGTGTATTTTTTAGACTAGTTTATCGTTTTAGCCGGGCTAAAACGATATACCGGTCGATAATTTACACCATCAAACACTATATTGTAAAAAGCAAGTCTCACCTTGTATTAATACACTACATGCTTTTCCCATCTTGTANGCTCATCTACTCTCTCTCTAGAAAGCTTTAGTGTATATTTTCTTCTTCTTCAAGAGCTCAAATGCTCCATTAATGGCTTCTACGCCTAAATCATGTACCGTGTACACACCCCCGATATTAATAAAAATCCCCCGTTGGCAAGGTACCGCCAAAAAAGGCCCGTGGTTTTCTCCCGATTTGGGTTTCCACGTAAAAATTCCCGTGTTTATATTTTGGTGTATTTTTTAGACTAGTTTATCGTTTTAGCCGGGCTAAAACGATATACCGGTCGATAATTTACACCATCAAGAATAATATAAAAATACACAAAAAAAATTAAAAGTTTTTTAGATTCTATTAATTTTTTCTAGTTTTTTTTAATTTCTTCCAGTTTCTTCAAGTTTCTCCAATTCCTTCTAGTTCTTCTAGTTCTTTCCAGTTCTTTCTAACATCTAGCTATTTTTTCCAGTCCTAAAGAACATACTCTAAGTGTCTATGATACACTAGTTAAAAATATATATTGTCACTTTTTGCCCATTCCAACTCCTTAGTGAACCCTTGGTCAGCCTAACCCTAACGCACTAGGTACCCCGCAACCCAACCAACTGCATCTCCAAAATTTGTTGAATTTGAGATTAAAAATTTTACTTCAAAATCAACAAAATTTGAGAATGGAATTAGTGGGGTGTTAGATACATTAGGGTTGGACTGAATTAAGGATTTTCGGAGAAATTAAGAGATGGTAAAGATAATCAATTTTTCGATCTAAATACTATATCCTATCTCGTAAAGAGTAAAGTTCTATCCTTTCGATAATCATCTGGTTGAGTGTGAGGAAACTCTCACGGTGGTGGCCAAGAGCATGAGCAGCAACGAGGGATGTGATTGCCTCGCCGTGCCAACTCATATTTACTCCTCTAAAAGCATGGCATGGCAAGCATTTTTGCCTTGGCTTACGAGTGACATGCGAGGCAAGCTCTTTTCTTCCTTTTTTTTTGAATTTTTGAATTTTTTATTTTGTATAAGAAAACAGCTTTGCTTCTGAATAGAGTACGTATATCTATTTTTATAAAAAAAGATAATTAAAATATTTTAATAATTAATATACATAAAAAAGATTAAAAAGTGTAAATAATAATGACTTGTCACTGCATAGCATGTCATTCCACTCAATTGTCACACGCCGACTAAGAAATTTTTGATTGACTCAATTTTTCCAAATTATTGTGTGACATTCCATTTTTGTATCACTATTGTATACTACATCCGTCCTGATGTATTTGTCCAGTTTGACTTTTTTGAGTCAAATTGCACAAATTTTGAGCTCCAATTACTCTCAATTTATATTCCATATTGACCTAATGAAATACAATTTTGAAAATTCTCAATACGATAAATCCAATAAAATCATTTTTATGTTAAAATACATTATGGTTTTTAATTAATTGAAGCTCAACGTTTATTTAGTTTGACTCGAAAAAATCAAACTGGACAAATACACTGGGACGGATAGAGTATCTCCTAGGGGTGGACACGGTACGGTTCCGGTTCCGGAACCGCCGGTTCCGGTACCGCCACCCCTTGATACCGGTACCGGTACCGGTTCCGGTTCCGGTTCCGGTACCGTTTCGGCCACCCCTAATTTTGTTTTTTTTTTTTGCTTTTTTATTATATTTTTAAAATGTAAAATTGTAAATGTGTAATTGTTAAAGGAAATGATGAAATAAAAAAATCTAAAAATGAAATTGATAAAGGAAAGAATGAAATTAAAAAAAATAATTAATAACGGTACCGGAACCGGAACCGCCGGTGCCGGTACCGAAAAATGGGCACCGGAACCGGTACCGGATTGGGCTGTACCCGTACCGATTCCCGGAACCGGTGGACCGTACCGGCCGACGGTAACGGTACCGGAACCGGCGGTACCGTTTCCGGTCACGGTACTGTACCGGTACCGTGTCCACCCCTAGTATCTCCTAATCAAGTGATGGATCACGTATTGGGGATTTAAGCTGCTTCTAAAAATAGCACAAAATTCCTATCTTATTTGAATACGTATCTTTCACAAGATTTCTCGGGGCCACGCAGGGAGTATGTGTCAACCCGTGGTCCGTACCACGACGATTCATGTTCAATAAATAAAAGAAAAAACTGAACATTTCCATTTTAAATTTTCCCCTGCAAAATAGAAGAGAAAACCCCAAACAATCTCAGCGATCTCTCTGGGGAGGATGAACATGAACCCCTAAACCTTCTTCATCAAAGCTCCATTGAAGCCTGTAACGCTCGCGAACCCTACCACCTGCCTCCGTCGACTGCAGAAATCCCCGCCGTCGCATTTCGAGGTATTGATTGATGTTCACACTCATTTTTTTAAGCTGTTTCATGCTTCGTCGCCTGAAATCTCGCTTCCTTCCGATGTGCGATTTGATGCCACTAGAGGCGGTTTTCGGGGATTAATCTTCTGTTTTTCAGTGTTTTTTTTGCTGATAGGAGAGATGTGTGTTAGGATAGCGCTGTCCAGATTCTTTTCCGTTTCTGCGGGTTGCTGATACGAAATTATTGCCACTTTAACTCCTTGAAGTAGAATGCTGTTTTACTTTGAATTTGAGGTTATGCATATTTTTTTTATAAATGTGAAATGATCTTGGAGTAACTGTTTATTCTGTATTTTTTATTTTTATATTCCCCACTCAATGTTCGTGTATGTTATAGGAGTAGTAGTTTGTTGGGTGGTGATGTAAATCTCAACCCCAAGTAAGATGCAATTAGCTCCTTTTGATCCCTCACTGCCCCCTTTCTATTTTTACTTATGTAATGAGCTCTATTCACTCTAATGGGGATTCAGGTTTGGGTTTTTTTGGGGAGGGGACCAACAATCAACTAATAGTTTTTTCCCCTTCCCATCCATTTGTTTCTTCTTTTGCCTCATGTGCTGGGGAAACAATTCCACATATTCAAGATATCATATGCAAGAATAGACCTACACCCACAACACCTCACTATTTATATTTGGAATACACATACGACAATTTTGAACGGACAAATTGTAAAACTCTCTCACAAAGTGTTTAGAACTTTCAACTAGATGTAAAACAAACATAATTTTGGAGCACTCTTGACAAAATTACTTCCTTCTCCTCCCATATCCCCCTTTAGAGAGAGTTTTAAAGGAAGCTCATACCTCTCCATACATGACTTCTTTATAGTCATTTTCCATCGTACCGCTATGGGATGTCATCACCAACTTGAATTCTTCAATTTGGTTCTTCTCTTGACCTCCATGTTTGAACCGCCTCAACAAATTAAAGAATTCAGTTTTTTTCCCTTCTTTTTAGTATTAGTTTCCAACTTTGATCCCTTTTTTCCCCTTCTCTTTCTTATGCTTAGTACTCCCTCCGTCCCTAAGCATTTGTCCACTTTTGACTTTTTCGGTCAAAATTGGTAAACGTTAACTTCAAGTTAAATAAAAATGATCTTAGATTTTAATACAAAAATAGTTTTATTAGATGTATTATATCAAATATTTTCAAAATATTATTTTATCTAATTAATATACATTATATATTTTATTTAATTATAGGTCAAAGATTGAAAACAGTTGACAGTAAAAAGTCAAAATTGGATAAATATTCAGGGACGGAGGTAGTAATTTAGATAGGAATGTGAGACTTTGTTTGCACCCAACATCGTATGCATGTAAAGGTGATCAATTATGAATTAGTTTGATAACTTTGTTCTTGTCCATTCATTTTCAATCCAACATGAATTGAGATAAAGGAAACCATCAAAGTGGGTTTCTCATCCCGTTCCATAGAGATCATCAATCCTTTGAGGCTATCTTTGGAACTTGAAAATGATAGGGAAGGGGAAAAATGCTAAGGAATTTCTTTTAATGTTTGGTTTTACCTTGGAGAATTCAAAGAATAATGCACTTGGATTAAAACTTTATGAAAATTTATACTAGTACATATTTATATTTCTCAGGCTCTATATAATCAAAACGTATAAATGAACCAAGTCTGAACAAAGACATAAAATTGTTTTATTGAGTTAGATCCTTTTTTAATTTCCTCCCAAATTTTCTTTCCTTCCAAATTTCACATCAATCCCCTCTCCAATTTTCTCACTTGCATTTTTTTGGTTTCATGTGGACCTTAAATGAACATTTAGCCATTTGAGGGCCCATTTGGTGAGTGTAAGAGAAATGAGTTTTGATATCTCTTGGTATCTAAACCTTTTTTGTGGTTGTTTGGTGAAGTGCAAACATGGTTCAGATTTGACGTTATCTCCCAAATGAGGGTGTTTTGATATCTCCCAAATTTGGGAGATATCAATTTAGGTTTTTGATATCTCCCTCAACCGCCCATCACCACCTTTGGCAACCCACTCCTCTCGGTCACCCATTGCCGTGGGTGACCCATTTCTGGCCACCCACTGCCTATCCATCTAAGATCTCTTGAAACACTTCCATTTCAAAATTTAAAACTCATATCATTTTTTCTAGATTTTAGAACTCATTTCATATCAACCCTCTAAAACGCACCAAACAAGCCCTGAGATTGACTTGCTTTTCTGTAGTGAAATGATAATTGTGTAGAAAAACAAATTTAAGATTGATAATTTATGAAGAATTTGAAATGTGAGGCCTTTTAACTTTTGATGAATGTACAAAAATGTAGAATAAAACGATAATGATTTTGTGTACTAATCATTGGACTTATGGTAATTCAATTCAGAGGTTCGTAGACTTGAGGAAGTTTTTAACACAATGGGAATCATTCGCCACAGGTCAGTTAGAGACTTATATTCTTTCCTTAATTGATATTGACTTGAGATTAATGTGGACTTGATTGTACTTTCACAAACTCCTTGTATTATCTGCAGAAGGGATTTGCTAGAAAATAGTTTCTGTTAAATAAGTTAATTTTATGCTTACTTTTTAAACCTTTCATTCCTTCTTATTGCAGTGGTTCTTTTAAAAAGACAAATGATAGTGCCAGGCTTATTATAACAACAATTATGGGAATGTTGTTTGGATATTTTATTGGCATTTCCTTTCCGTTTGTTTCTTTAACTAAGGTAAGTTTGAAGGTCTTTGGATAAAGTTGTTTGGTGTGAAGTCTAAACTTTATATAATCATATTTGTCATCCAGTTGATGCTTGAGTATCTTGTGCAGATTAACTTACCCTCAAGCTTTATATCATCTATTGATGTAGCTTCTGGCAATGACCATCAAAGACATTCTGCACGTAGTTTCCCTGAAAACCTTGGTTCTGGTAATATTCCGGTAACACCCAAGGTACTTGTTTCATTGATGATGACACGATTTTTGGATTTTGAAACTGTATATCTTTGTTTCCTTCAGTTCCGTACTTCCAGTCATATATGTTTAATACGGAGTATGTTTGTATGATAGTAATATTTTAGAAAAGACTGAACAGTTTACACACACACACACATTATTTAGTTAATTGTGTGACCTGATGTTGCTCTATTTGTCCATAACTCAATATTGATTAAAAACTGATGTGACTTTCAGATATATGTACCTACCAATCCTCACGGTGCAGAGTCATTGCCACCAGGAATTGTAGTAGCAGAATCAGATTTTTATTTGCGTCGATTATGGGGTGATCCTAGTGAGGTGAGTTTTAGAGGATTTATAATCATGGTTCATTTTTGCATCTGCAAATTAGGGTCAGTTTGGATGGGGTGTTTGGGAAGGTGGTTTGGTCTAAATATTGATTAATTGGTTTAAAATAAAAAAGGTGATTGAAATGATATTTGATCACATTTCATTTTATTTTTTCGCTTTTGTTTCTATAATATAAACTATACATGCTTATCAATTTATGGACTTGGGCACTTAGCCCTTCAAAATCCTTCAAAGCTGTCCATCCACACTGACCCTTAGGGTAGCATATTAGTAAACCAGTATTGTTCTGCTTCTGAAATTGTGATTGGGTATGGTCAAATAGGAAGCTGGCATGCCTGGTTTGATTGGGCACGGAGTTTAAGGAATGTGAAGTGTGTGGTTGGAATTTATTTGGAATTTGGAAAAGAGAGAAAGAATTTGAGCCATATACTCATTTCCTTAAACAGAAGTGAGTGTTTATATTGGGATTACAAAGGAAACCATGATGTTTTTGTTGGGATGGTGAGAGTATAAATTTTTGTTAAAGTAGTTCCTCACTCCATTAAGGGCATGCACTCGGGTTGCTTCTACCTTACAATGTTTTTGAAATGTTTAGGATTTAAAAAGGAAACCGAAGTACCTGGTTACCTTCACAGTTGGTTTGGAACAAAAGGACAATATTGATGCATCAGTTAAAAAGGTTATATTAAATGAGGAATTCTTTCAAGATCTTAATGCTTGTCTACTGTTGAAATTCATGTACTAAGTTGTATTTTATGCAATGATATTTTAGTTCTCAGAGGATTTCCAGATTATGCTCTTTCATTATGATGGTCGTACCAGTGAATGGGATCAGTATGAGTGGTCTAGGCGTGCAATACATGTCAGTGTTAGAAAGCAAACAAAGTGGTATGGCTCTGAATCTGTCTCATATTTTTTTAACGGGATGGAGGGAGTATATGATCATGCAAACTATTAAACTTCTCCAGCTTGTTAATTAATTGTGATTTGTCCAACAAGCTATGCTTTTACTTTTTTCTTTCTTCCATGTCCTCGACCTCATAGGTGGTATGCAAAGCGGTTTTTGCATCCTGATGTTGTCGCAGCTTATGATTACATATTTATTTGGGATGAAGATCTTGGAGTGGAGCACTTCAATCCTGAGAAGTGAGTGGTTTAACTTTAGGTGCCTTTTGGTTTCTTTCTTCATTGCTCAGATTGAATTTCTTATTGGACTCGTTTGGTTTCAATTTATCTTGCCAGGTATATTCAGTTAGTGAGGAAACATGGTTTAGAGATATCTCAGCCTGGCCTGGAACCAAACAATGGATTGACGTGGCAAATGACAAAAAGGAGAGGAGACAGAGAAGTTCACAAGTAGGTTCCAATGTGTTGAGCTCTCTATCTTCTTAAAATAGATAATTTGCTTATTTTTTGTTGTCAAATAAAGTGTCCATTTGCAAGTTTACCAAGTTTTGTTTGGATGAACAGGGAGACAGATGAGAAACCAGGGTGGTGCAGTGATCCACATCTGCCTCCATGTGCAGCGTACACACTCCCTATCTCTCTCTCTCTCTCTCTCACACACACACACATTCACACACACACCCTTTCTATTACACATCATCTTGCTGAGCAGCCTAATATACTTTTAGAATTTAAGATGTACATAGATATCATTTTCCATGGATCTCATGTTAATATCAATCATATAAAGGACATGACAATTATATCAACTCTTGATATTCCACATGAAGCAGAGACCCATGATATTGGCGGTTTTGGATTTTCATCTCAATGTTCCTCTGCCAAACAGTGCCGCATGTCTTTTAATGCAAGTTTAGTGCCAACTAGTTTTTAATCAATGCTCCAACTGTCCTGATTTTGTTCTCTTCTGTTCAGTTTTGTGGAAATCATGGCTCCTGTTTTCTCTCGAGAGGCATGGAGATGTGTTTGGCATATGATCCAGGTATTATTTCCTGCTCATGATTTTGTCGTTGTTGACATTATCATGGTAGTATTTTCAGTTGTGATTGTTTAATTTATTGTGACAAACTCATCTATATCTAGAATGACTTGGTGCATGGATGGGGGTTGGATTTTGCTCTCAGAAGATGTGTAGAGGTTGGTAATTTTGACTGTCAAGCATCGTTGATAATCTTCTCTCTCTCTCTCTGCATTGAAAGATTGTGAACTTTTTGGATCTTCCGCAGCCTGCTCATGAAAAGATAGGCGTAGTTGACTCACAATGGATTGTTCATCAAGTTATTCCCTCTCTTGGGAATCAGGTTGAAATCTTAGAATGATTTATTTGTGTGATTCTTATTTCTAAGGACTACGAAGGAGTAATGTAACTAATAGTGACCCCTGACTTTGCTCTTCTTATCCATGCCAATTTGCAGGGGCAGTCGGAGAATGGCGAAGCTCCATGGCAAGGGGTATTATTGAATTACAGTCTGCTGAGATGGAATCCAAATGCAATACTTTAAAAGCTTTATTATTCTTCAAAAACATTTTTTTTAAAAAAATAAAAAATTGGGTTTTTTCCTCTTTCCAAGTGGGGTCCCCAGCCCCTACAGTCTTGTGTGATTCTGCTGGGTTTGTTGTAAAAAAAATGGAATATTTCTGTTGCAGGTGAGGGAGCGATGCAGGAATGAGTGGGCGATGTTCCAAGATCGCCTAGCAAACGCCGACAAGCAGTATTTTGCAAAGATTGGTAGGAGTTTACATTGAAGAGATGCAAATACGACTACTTCCAGACATCCTGTACAGCGCCTCTTTTCTCCCCCCTCCCCATTTGGCTCTGTTTGTTAAACGGCGGTTGGCCAAAACGCCAAATCTCCTTTTGGCTAGAAACGCTGCTCTTGAAGCAACGTTTTGAATGGTGACCCGCCATTATACGAACACAGCCATTCATAACACCGTTTTGCAGCTATGAGTCAATATATATAATACAAATTAACTTATAGAATTAGTTAAATACTCCGAATATGTTACCGGTAGCGTACGCGTTTATTGTGTGAAAAGCCGCATGCTTCATCTTCGTTTCGTGCATCTTAAATACAGAGTGTTTTATGTTCATTGGTGCCAATTATTAGGAGTGCAACTAACATAATCTTATATCATCATCCTCCATTTATATCAGTTCGAGATACAAGAGTGCTTATATATCATATTTAATTAAATTTACACTGAATGAGTATTTGGTACAAATGAATATACCGGAGTAAGAAAATGAATATACTGGCAGTGATAATCAAACTCAAGAAATGTTAGTAAATGATATACATTGTCCTATCATTGAACTGAAGTTGCACTTATGCTATGTTTGGTTTGTGGATTTCCTCTTTTAAGAGTATATTTTCTGGTATTTGTAAAAAATATATTATATACTCTCTCCGTTCCTAAAAGATTATTATAGTTTAACTTTTTTGTTCAAATTGTGGCACTTTTTAACCGTGAATTATGGAAATGGTATATTTAGTTATAATGTAAATTTAGTAAAATTAGGTATATTTTAAAATACAGTTTTAAACTATCGAAATTTTGTAATATATAGATATTTTAAACTATATTTAATTTGTGACTAAAGGATAAAATAGTTTGACTAAAAAAATCAAACTATGACAATCTTTTAGAAACGGTGGGAGTACGTAGTAGATCATGTGCTAGCTATAGTGCTATATGGGTTGATCCTATACATCCCGTTCTACTTGGATATTAGTTGCGTTATAAATCTACGACGCTTTGAATTGCAATATGTTGGGACGGAATTCTTTTTTCAGGTAAGAAATGCTTTGTATTTTATTACTCCATCCGTCCTAAAATGTTTGTCACATTTTCTTTTTCAACAGTTACAGAAGTTTTTGTTTATTTATACGTTTTCATTGATTATTGAATAAAATAAAATACTCTTGACAACTCTTATTTTAAAAAAAAATTCTTATAGTTTTTTTAATATATACTTTTTTTAAATTTTATACCAATATTTAAATAAAATAAGTCGAAAAAACTTGATATTTTGGCTCATTTTTCAAAATGTGGTAATGATTTAGGGAGGGAGTAATGGTTTAAAAGAGGAATAAGAAAGGGGTACTATCTCAAAAAATGTTGGAAGACCACCTTTCTAGCCAAAATCAAGAGGGGTAGTATCAAGGAACGATGAACAAAAGTGACAGATGCATCATGAAAAGTGGCCAAAAGAGTGTTACAATTATGAGCCAACCTGCCAATGTAAGAAGAGAATGAATAACTAATTTTCAATTCCAATTACGTCAATTCCGTATACCAAACGGATTCTTAGAGCATTTACCACTTAGATCCATTCCAAATAAACTTTGCCTCCACATCTTGTATCTCTCTCGATTTCAACCATGAAAGTGTTTCCTAACATGTAATCCCCTCGCCATCAACGGATCATGAGAGCAATGCATCCTACCATTCAGGCCTCACGGAAAATCCAAGACTCGTTCAATATGCGCCACGCTTCCAAACCCGGTCAGTCTCAAGAGAATTGTATCCACAAAGCAACGAAGAGCACTCGACACTACCTTAGGGGAGGCTTGCGCAAGTGTTGACTTCACATCTCCGGAACACCTAGTAGACCAACCATCACATGCACATAGCGTGTGCCCATCTTGTCGTAATCTGCGGTATGGATCTCTTATAATCCCAAACCGTCTTGTTATGCGTTTTTCAGATCATTCAAATGGTGATGATTTTGTGCACTATGTATTTAATATCAATCTACTTGACATTGATCCTTATATTACATATTCACACATTAATCATGTGAAAAGGCAAATAAAGAGGTACTTTGGAAATATTTAGCTTGAAAACAAAAAGTCAAGTTTTATATACTCGCTTTAGCTTGAAAATACTGAACATTTTTGTAAAATGAAGGGGAGATATTAATAACATGAAGGGAATTGAATATGAAAATATGATACGTTCACTGTAGTGTCTTCAATTTATTCTTTCTATTTATAACTTATTTTTATTAGAGTAAATTTCATAATTGGTCCTTTATAACAGAGGAGTTTCCATATTTAGTCCTCTGTTATCAAGTATTACCATTGTAGTCCTTTTTTAAGGGTGTCTTTCCACAAATGATCTTTTTTCCGATCTTCCGACATGTGGGTGTTAATTTAAAGGCTAAAACTATAATTTGATATCAACATTATGTCTAGTGCCGTGTTTTGATATTGGTTAAATGGATAACACAAAAATAATGACTATGATTGTGGGCTAGGATTATGACGGAAGACCACATTTGTAGACTATGATTGTAGTAGAAAGTGAATGTAATTCACAAACGACGCAAACAGAACAACCTTTGGAATTGTGTATGACAAAATAGATATATTATCTTTGTGAAATTACACTTTTAGCCCTCAAATTAACTCCAACATGATATAAGATCAAAAAAAGAACTATTTGTGGAAAGATACCCATAAAAGAAGGACCACTGGGGTAATATTTGATAATAGAGGACTAAATAGGGAAACCTCTCTGTTATAAAGGACCAATTATGGAATTTACTCTTTTTATTATAACTAAACCAGATCAGATAAGATCAAATCGGATCAATCTATTTAGATAAAACATATCATACCCATTCAGATCAGAATATATCAGAAAAGTATTGAAAAATGAATAGTTTAAAAATACTTTGGAGTGATAACAACACCACCACCAACAACAAAACCTATTTTTTTACTAGTTGAGGAGTACGAAGCCATAATAATTAGAATCACAGATTTTTTTAATTAAACATGAACTTAGTGGTATAAATTTTATAATTCGAATAACATTTAAATTTTACAAGTCATAACCTCAGTAGATCATTAACTTGACTAATGACTGTTGACATAGCGTAATAAGAAAAGTTCACAATGATTTTTCGAAACAACATTTTAAGTTAACACTAATATTCTATATTATTTTTATGATGATGATTAAACTTGAGATGTAAACGAGCTTGATTTTTTTGACACCAAATACAATGTCATATTATGATACTGGTTCATTTGAGAATCTTATAAACTTAAGAGGTGTGGACTCAAGGATCAAGTTGGGGAAATCGATTTGTTATTGTTGGAATAGGGAACATCGTCCCCCGACCGTGAATTGCCATACTCTAGAGAATTCCTTGACACCACCGATCAAAACTATTCATTAAACTGAAAATGGATGGAGAACCACATCTCTTGATGGGAAAGGGGGGGAGGGGTACGCGAGAAGAGATATGCTAATGGAAAGGATATGAGTGATAAGGACAATGGCCATGATCTCTTCGCGTGATCAGATTGGTTCTGATATGGTTGAAATAGTTTCCAATATGATCTGGTCTGATCTAAATGCAGTTATATTTAAAGTTATTTCTGGTCTGATCTAATCTGATTCTAATAAGAATAAATAATAAGTAAAAAAATAAGTTAAGAAGAACATGACATACATCCCATGGACGAATATGATGTTCGATATCCAAGTGCTCTTACTTTGCTTTGCCAAGTGACAATTCACTCTTAAATATGAAATTGTGTAATACCTCATGTTAGATAGTACAAAAAAATTGATGGTTTGATACTACTAGTCTACTACTCACAAATTTTTTCTTTGTTTCTCTATAGGGGCTTGCACAGTTGAAAAGAATAGAGAGTGCCAAGAGATAGACCCGAGATATCCCTCGAGTACGAGATTCAACTTTTTTTTTCTTTGTTTCTCAAAAGGTAAATGCTTTTCTTGCCAAACGAGCCACTACTTTTTTTCCCGGTAAATCAGAGGCATACCAGTGTCCAGTGTATGTATACAATAACATTACAATCCGTAATCCGTATACATACGTTTCTTTTGCAGGAGTAGAAAATAGGGAGTAAATAAAACGGAAAAAATCATTGAATAAAACGGAAAAAATCCTCCAACCGGAGATGGGGCGGCTCTCCGTCGGCGGTATTGCTACTGGTGCACTGGCTGCCTGATCGGGAAGTTCATCTCGCCGATTTCCGACGCCGTTGCCCACATCTTCATGCCGAAATTGTATAGTATTTGCTTCATATTCTTTTTCTTTAAATGTACCATTGAATTGCCCACGCACTTGAAATTCGAGCAGAGTGGAGTTTCCTCCGGGAGTAGGGTTTCTGGCAATTATTTTCGCCTGGGTTTTTATTCCTTTCTTGGCATTCGAAGGTTTTATTCTCCTGCCAATTTGAACTCCACGAAGAAAAGTTCGATCTTTTTTTTTTTTGCGGATTTCTGATCAGAAGATTGTTTTTTTATTTTGCAGTTTATTTGAATCGAGGGGGAAGGAAATGAGAGAGATGATTCATCGTTGGGAAGTTGTCTTTAGTTTGGTGCTTTTGCTATCTGGTACCATTTTCTCATTTTCCATCAGTTTATTGTCTGTTCTTGTTCCTGTTGTGTACTGTGTGTGAGTGAATTTTCCTGATGATAAAAACATATGATAGTTTTTATCAAAGTATTATATCTGCTTAAAATACAGGGAATTTGCAACATTCTTATTTCCGGGCAAAATGGAAAAGATTAAATCTTGAAAAGGTTGCTTGCATTTTCCACATTCTTCTGGTTCTAGCCTTTTAGGAAGTTCATAGATATCAGAGTTCATGTCTTAGATGTTTTACGGGTTTAGATGTTGTTTCTCACTTCACTTTCGGGCAGAAGCTGCATTACAGTTGCATTGATTATAATGCAATTCATTTTGAAATTGATATATGTTCTTGCATATCTTCTACTCCCTCTGTCTCATATAAAGAGTTATATTTCTCCAGTGTGCAATATTTTCGTTTTGTTGAGGTACAGCTAGGAGAAATCCTCGAATATAGTTATATTTTTAAAATTAGTTGCTTGTTTAACTAACTTTAACACACTCTATATTTAACTTTTTAGGCACACTTTTTGCATTTAAAAAATCTGGTACAATGGAAATTAGTTTTTTTTCCCTTCAATTTTGAATGTTTTTATGGGACAAGAATATGTTTAGAAAAAGGACTCATTTTATGGGATAGATGGAGTATTCAATTGTGATGCAACCTTCATGTATAAAAAAATGCTTAGTTTTAAAGCAGTGAAAGCCAGTGAATAGGAACATTCATCTGCTCATCTGTAAATAAATATATATTGTGTTCTCAAGGGGTTGGTTCTTCAATTCTTCTCCAGTTTCTACAACAAAGGCATCTGATACGATAGATTCTTTTGACCAGTGTGAAAACACTGTCAAGAACTGGGTATCTTCTTCCCTTGAATCAGAAATTAGCAGAGACAATCATCAGTTGAGGGACTTGCTATTTTTCCTTCACATACCTAGGACAGGAGGAAGGACATATTTTCACTGGTAATATTTTTAATCTTCTCATCCATTTCTTGGCAATGCCTGCAAGACTTCACATGCGCTCATGAAATATTGTTATTGTTTTTTTCTTTCATTCAATTTTCCTCTTGCAGTTTCCTGAAAAAGCTTTATGCCAACTCTCTGGAGTGTCCACGCTCCTATGATAAGTTAAGGTTTGATCCCAGGTAATAAATCTTTTATTCTTCTATAACTATTTCCTCTTAGTCACTTTGTGGGCCCACTATAGTTTTCTGTCAACAAAGACTCGTTGGGGTAGCATTTGTGTGGGTGACAAACTTTTTGAATGCTCGGGATAAATGGCCTTAAAGACTTGAACACCCAAAATTTTGATTTTGATTCTTGAAGTGTCATTTTTTAGTTTAATTCAATCATAGAAGGATTTGGAATGCAGTAGTCATGCATCTTAGCCTTCTTTATTCAGTAGTGTTTGCCTGTTTGGGTAGTGATTACTCAGTTGTTTTGTGGCCTGGCTAGTTTTGGATGTTGTTGGACCTGATTATAAATAACAATTTAGATGGATATCTCAGCAAATTGACAATACCAAAATGGAAAATTATGAATGAAAAACATTTCTTCCCAAATATTCAGTTATCCAAAAAAAATTCATATCATTATCCATTTCTATTGCCTGTACAATGAAATTTCAAATTATCATAAAAGTATCTGGACATTTCTGAAAATTTCCACAAAATATCTGTACACTATCCAAAACATTGTAATTAGCATCAAAATATTTTATACAATCTGAATGTAACTATTTATCAATATTCTGGTCCTACATTACCCAATTACTGAAGAAACAGAACAGCACAACAAACTACTGTATAGTTCCCATATAACCCAAAAGCACTTTCATGTTCTCTTTCTGGTGTGATGTACATATAAATGTATATTAATACCAACAATTAGTACTTTTTTTAACATTGAAAATCAGAAGAATGTGGACATATCAAGGCTGATTTGGCTGAATATACAATTTGGCCAAAAAAGTAGAGAATGTTAAAACTTTGTCACTGGAAACTGATTTTTTAAATTTTTTTTATCTCACGTGCATTTTTTTTCATTATATATATATAATGTTTTTATGAGAGCTATATATAAGCTTCTCTAAGTTCTACCTTTTCCCCTTTTTAAATTGCATTTGTGCAGAAAGGAAAACTGTCGATTGTTGGCTACCCATGATGACTACAGTGTGATTACCAGACTTCCTAAGCATAGAACTTCCGTGGTCACAATTATTAGGAATCCAATCGACCGTGTTTTTAGTGCTTATGAATTTTCATTGGAAGTAGCTGCTAGGTTCTTGGTGCACCCTAACTTAACATCTGCCACTAGAATGTCGGGAAGGGTCCGTTCAAGTTCAAAGGGAGTAAGCACCCTAGATATCTGGCCGTGGAAGTATTTGGTTCCTTGGATGAGAGAAGACCTATTTGCTCGAGTATGTTTCTTCCTTAAAACGGCTCTCAATATTTCATGAAATCTTGAGCAGTTCTATTTTTATCCTTGTAAGTGCACCACCCACATGTAGGGTGAGTTCTGTAGTATTTCAATACTGTTGAAGGTTTCAAAAGAAACACTAACAAATAAAAGAGACCGGCACTGTTTAGAAAATGTGGATATTGTTAAATCACATTTTAAAAAAATCAGTTCATTTTGTATTTTGAGAATATTCAACTTCTACACGTACTCATTGTTTCCCGGAAAATAGAAAATCGCCCATTTTCTGAACACCCTACACAAACCTCACTATTTTCGATGACAAGATCTTTGAATTAGTGGCTATGGAAACGCTTTGACCACTTGTTTGAATTTGTGGTTCTGCCATTTGCATCAGCTGTGAATATTCTGGTAATTGCCAGTTTGCCATCACTTGTTTTCTGAGATATCCATTTGATATTGTTCTCCTGTTTCTGCATGAACATTTGTGTCTAAATAACTTGAAATAATCTTTTTAGCCCTTATACTAAAGGTTAGTATGGTCTTTGTTGAAGTTTGGGAGTGTCAAAGAGTTGAACTCGTAAACGTATCTTTTATTAAATAAAAAAAGTATGTAGTAGCCCTTATCTGTACATACATTTTGCCTAATTCCAGTGGTTCTTTCCTAATCTAGAAAATTATGAAAAATAAGATTTTCAGACATCAATGGGTTGCACCCAATACTTCCAAATTACCGTTTCATTTTTCTTTGAGTATTTTATATGCATTGCATGTCTTGCCTTATGATCATGCGATGTAATTTGACTACAGAGAGAAGCTAGAACACGTAGAGGAAAAACGATTATCAATGGAAATGATCCTTACAATATGGAAGAAATTGTGATGCCGTTGCACAAATATATCAATGACCCCATGGCTCGGGATATCATCCAGAATGGGGCCACATTTCAGGTACCACTATAGCACTGCTTTGTACACACTGATGCGCATTCTTAAAAGATTGCATAGCCATTCATTTTTTGTTTTTCCTTTTTTTTTTAATTTTCACCTTGGGTGGGGCTGTGGTTGGATGGAATGACTAAGATGATAAGATAAGAGAATTCCATAAAAGGTCCCGAATTACAAGTGCTTTTCCATATTTAGTCCACAATTCTAAAATATTACATAGATGGTCCTCAATTTTCTAGATTACTGTCCCATAATCGGTCCTTCAGGGACTATTTGTGGAGAAACTATTTTGTCATATTTGGCCTAAAACACTATTTACGGAATAGTTTTCAAAAAATTGAGGACCATTTATGTAATATTTTAGAATTGGGGATTAAATATGGAAGACCATGTATAATTAGGGACCATTTATGGAAGTTACTCATATGATAATTTATCTTTAGCTGGCAAAAACAGGTCATTTAATTTCTGCAATGCACTAGAAGATGGTTCGTTCTGCCTGATAGGTGTCTGATCAATATAGGTTGCAGGACTCACAAACAACTCTTATGTGGCAGTGTCTCATCACGTGCGCCGTTGTGTCTTGAAGTATCGGAGTCTGGGTCAGTATGTACTTGAAGTCGCAAAGGTAATTAATTACTTGAAGTCGAAAAGGTAATTAATTTTTTTCCTCTCCTCCGTAGTTTTATGCATATCAAATCTTGCAGAAGAGGTTGGATGGAATGTTGTATGTGGGAATCACTGAGAACCACAAAGAGTCTGCCGCCATGTTTGCAAATGTAGTTGGTACTCAGGTGATTTCCCAGCTAACTCCATCAAGCTTTGGCAAAAGCACGGAAGCATCTTCCAACAATTCAGGTCAGTCGTCTACGTGCTCCTTTTGACAACCCTTTTGAAACATTTCAGTTTTGTTTTTTCCAAAGTTAATCTGCACCGTTAAAAAAAATCTGTTCTACTTGCTAATCTTTATCGTGTTTTGTAACAAAGAAAAATGCCGATTGCTATTTTCTTAATAATAATAATAATAATAATGTTACTGGCTGCACCGCAGAAAAAATCAGTCCTTCCGGAGATTCTGCTTCTGATACAGAGGTAATAATAGGTTTCATCATATTTTCGTGTCTTCAAATGATTAATACGGGGTAATATTAATAATGCCTTAACTTCTGGCACTGAAGACAAAATTTAGCCATAATGAAATGTTTTTATGTTCACGAGATAATAACAGATGACTGCAGAAAAACTTATTGAAGTGTATGAGGGCTGCGTTTCGAGCTTACGCTCATCTCAGTCACAAAGAAGAGCAAAGTCACTGATGAGAATATCTCCTGCAAATTTTACAAAAGAGGTATATACCTAAAATAATTGTACCTTCCCAAATTTGAAGGGTTGTACCTTCCCGCGGTATGGGCTTGTTCTCTTCACCTGATCTGGTTGGAATAAGTTCTGGTATGGTGTAATCTGATGTGAATGTAGTTATATTTAAAGCTGTTTTTGATGTGAATTGAACTGATTCCAATAAAAAAAATTAATAAGGATAAGTTGAAGAGAACACACTCTATATCTTTCTTTATCTCCCAGTCTTGTTTTATCTCCCTTTTAATTGAGGATTGAAATTTAATAAGAGCCTGGAAATTTGAACAGGCTCGCTGTCGGATTCCAGCACAACTCATACAGGAGATAGCATCACTAAACAGCCTGGACATGGAACTCTATGAGTATGCGCAAGTCATCTTTGAAAGGCAAAAAAACCAAGTCGGAGTGCAGAGAGCGGAGTTTGGTGTAAGTTCCCCCCCCCCCCCACCCTCACCCCCGCTAGTCCGAGGCGTGCATGCGATAAAAGCTTTAGAACGTAGAATTGGGTAGTGGTTACTCAACTGGACCATAAGACACTCGGGCCAACCCATACTGAGGGCATGTTTGATGAGCATACGAGATATGTGTTCTGATTTCAAAATCCTTTTGTGGGTTTTCGGTGAAGCCTAAATAGGGTTCGAACTTGATATCTCTCGATTTCAGATCTTCCAAAACACTCTCATTTCAAATTTCAGAACCCATATTTTTTTTTCTTCCAGATTTCAGAACACATAGCATAACGCCTCTCAAAAACTTACCAAACGAGGCCCTATAAAAGATCGAACCTATATGATCATTGTTTTCTTCATACGTTGCAGGCGGATCACGGAAAACTGGGGAGCGGTTGGGACGACGCGGCGGCCGCCGCCTCTTGGAGACTCCTTTGTTTTGCATCCCCTTTTGTGTTGGTGTCACTCTGTCTTTTCATCTTTGTAAGTGCAAGGCGAAGATCAGTGTCAAAGGTTAAATTATAAACAAACGTGACTTTGACTTGAGTCCCTAATTAAGAAAGAAAGAAAAAAAACACATACTCCCTCCGTCCCTGAGTATTTGTCCACTTTTGACTTTTTTTGGTCAAAATTGGTAAACTTTGACCTCAAATTAAATAAAAATGATATTAGATATTGATACAAAAAGAGTTTTATTAGATTTGTTAAATCAAGTATTTTCAAAATATTATTTTATTTAATTAAAATACAATATATATTTCATTTAATTATAGGTCAAAGGTTAAAAACAGTTGACCGAAAAAAGTCAAAACTGGATAAATACTCAGGGCCGGAGGTAATACGTATTATACACATTTGGAGAATTAGTTCAGACCATTATTTTATAATTCAACCGACATTTGATTGATTGATGATAATGGCAAAAATATCTAATCTAACTTCTGCTAATCTTTGCAATTTTCCGGGCATCATTATCATTGTTATGAAACATTCTTAAATACGTAGTATATTCTTAACAAAATAATGGACAACACATGAATGTATACTCTATATTATTATTGTTGTTGTTTTTAGTACTTTGTATTATTATTATTATTATTATTATTATTATTATTATTATTATTATTATTATTATTATTATTATTATTCACTTCTTTTGACAACAAAAATTGTTGTTATGACAACAATTATGTTTCATTCAAAAAATTGATGGTTCTTATCATTAATTATTATTGTCTCTGTCTCATTTTAAATTGTTTGTTTTCCTTCTTTCTTCATCCCAAAATAAGTTGTCTGTTTTTGTTATCGTAAACTGTTAAGATTAAAATACCTAAATTATCCTTAAAGCAAATCATTCTTCTCTACCTTATCTTCTCATTCATCGTCACCCCTCCTAAAAAGTAATGGCAATTTCGAAAAGTCAATTCTTTTTTTTCTTTTTTTTTAAATATGTTCCAAGGTCAAAATAGATGATTAAAAACGGGACGGATGGAGTATTATTAATTATTAATTATTATTATTATTCGAATCTTTGAAATTGTGGAGCAAAAAATATATAAAGGGGTGAAACCGTCAAAGGGCGCAATGAATGTGCCTTTGTTTACAAGTGCCCATCGTTATTCGTTACCCCAGCAAAAAAATTGAACCCATACGTATATCCATAGCTCCGATCCACTTAAAAATATAATTAAATATAATATAATTAAATAGAATATAACATTATTATTATTATTATTATTATTATTATTATTATTATTATTATTATTATTATTATTATTCATTGAAGTAACATGCATTGGTACAACTCCATATTGGTCCACCCCAAACCCACCACACTTATAATGAAACTGTTTCGGTGCTATTTCAAAATGTAACGTTAACACGTCCAATATGTTTTGACTATGGTATTACAAAAAAAACCCATTTGATTAGATTTTGCATATAGGTTTGTGTGTGTATAGAATGATATTATAATTATCCAAAATTTTCTTGTACATGTTGTGTACATCTAATCTCTCCTTGTCTCGCATCAGACAAAAAAATTTGAGTAACGTTATTGTTGTTTTACGTACAGTTACGCATAAAAATATTTTCGAATTTGGAGTACTCATGATTGTACTTTCATAGTGTTTAACAACTTCATTACACATTATTTCTCGGCTACTTACTGTATTCTTCTAGTTTGATATTTTTTATTAAGTTGGATGAAGTTTAACCTTCGGTTACATTAAATTTGCAATAGGTGAAGTTTGTACAGTTTAATTTGAAAAATTCAAATTGAACGAATACATAGACATGAAGATAGTATTTGGCAAAATTTAGCATAAACTTGAAATGGACCATTGTTTTGGAAAGAGAGAGTAAACCCATTCTTTTTATTTGAAAAGTTGACTTCAAAAAAAGAATAATAAAAAAGAATAATTTTACGTAATAGTATAATACGGAGTATTCACTATGATTAAAATGGTAAATAAAAAAGATACGCATAAGTCGTAAATAGCTTAGACCCCTTAAATAGTGAAATGCTCATTTTGTCCCAAAGTGGACTACCCATTTGTATTTATATCAAATTTTATTCACTTTATTTATTTACTTTAATATTCATTTCTAAATTATAAACTCTGTGTTTGAATTTTATATTTGTCATTAAATAAATTGAATCAAATATAATTTTAATACTTATTGTAAATCAGAATGAAAATTCATTTGGGGTATGTTATGTTGTTATCCCACCCAAAAGGTAGGGAGTAGATGTTTTTTCCTTGCCGTAAAAAAGTAAATCTAAATTTACAATAAACTAGTTTTCTACCCCGTGCTACGCACGGGCTTGTTATTAGGGCTCGTTGTCATTATATTATTGAGGCGATGGTTGAAAATGGTGGGTTTGGTTTATGATTTGATTTTCTTCCATAATTATGCTATGCTTGGGCATGTGTTAAAGGGTAGTGTATGTTTTGGTTTTGTAGGATTTTGAAATACTACATTGTATCCTTTTGTTTTGTGAAATGTGAAGAGTGACATTATTCTATTTTGAGGTTTTTTAATTTGATGTCGGTGGTTGAAGATATTCATTTTTTTGTAATGATTTTAGATGTTCGTTTTGGCGTTGTATTGGTTGATGTTCGTTTTGGCGTTTTGATGTGCGTTGGGGGTAAGATGACGGCTGGGCGTCTATAGCGGTTACCATTGAAGCGAGGATTGCGAAGGACGAACATCAATATATGCTTGGTGTTTGTATACGTTGGCGTTTAATGCCATGTCACGTATGACACGTGTCAACACTACAACCACTAAACTCTCTTTTACCTCGTGCTTCGCACGGGCTCGCATATTTTTCTATAGAATATATCTTTAAATTTGTTATTAAATTAAAATATAAACCTAGATTAAATAAAAAAGTGAATTATAATTAAAGTTGTTCTATCGCATTGCCTATTGATAGAATAAATAAATATTATACACGCATGTAAATATAAAGGATAATACATTAATTATTTGTAAATAACTTACATAGACATTTCATTTTTGGAGATATCATGGTATGCGGGGGGAATGTGTTTATTAATTTTCTCTATGACTCTTATTATTTTACACTTCACTATTCAAATTTATAATTTTGATAGAAAAATTTATTCAAAATTTTAAAGGGAAAGTTTGAATTTTTAATACGAATTTTAGACAACTTTTTATACACTGAAATCTTACTCTTTATAATCTAAACTTTCATATTCATTACACTTATCATGGGAAAATGGTGCAAAAATTTGTAGAAACAATTGTCTTTTAAAAAAATTATTAAAGTTTATATAACCTTTAAAAAAGTAATTAATTAATTATAAGATATTAAAATATATTTTAAAATGATGAAGGACATATTAATATAATAATTAAAATATGAAAAGTATTATAGATACAAGTTTATGGTAATTAAAAGAAATAATCATGAACAATCTTTTAAATAAAAATAAATTTATAAATGTCATGTGGACCAATAAAATGATGACACTATGCCATGTAGATACAAATTTTGCCATGTCATACGCCACGAGTCTCCAATACAACTAATGAACTCTCCTTTACACATATATATAAGATATATACTCCCAATTTTTACCAAAGAATGGTATTTTTCGTGTTAGGTGTAAAAATCATGACAAAATGTCTCACCGACTAAACGTGTTCTTCAAATTGTTTCGCTAATTTCCAGAACATAAAATCCAGAAAAAAAAATTTAAAACTCAAAATTTCAAAAAGAAATAAAATAAAATAAAAGAACATTATTTCTTTCCCAATAAGGCCATTTCTATCTTCTTCTTTGCCCTACATATCTTCTTCTTCCTCTTTCCTTTCTCCTCTCTGCAAAATCCAAAACCCCCTCAAAAAGTGCAATGTCTTGCGCCACTGAATAGGCTCTGCGGTCAGTACTCTTTCTTCTCCGCCCAAATTAGTGAAAACCCATATTTTTTTCAGTACCCATTTCTTACTTTTCTATAAAGTTTCCATTTTCGGTGTGCTTTAAGGTTTCCCCCCACCCCCTTTTCTTCTCTGGTGAGTTCTTGAGAAATTTTGCCTGGTTAAATGTAGACAGTTTTTTGTCTAACTTTAATGGTTCTTCTCTTACAAAGCGGAGAAGCAATTTGGGCATTTATAGTGTCGCATTTCTTAGCAGCCAAACAGGGCACAGAGTTCTTCTTCTGTGTTTCTCTGCTCTCCGGCTTGTGCCGGAGACTGGACGGAAAACGCCAAAACGGTGTCGTATTTTGTTTGCAAGAACAGAAATTACTCTCATTCACCCACTTTTTTTAACCGCGTGGTTTTGTTGGTAATAACCATTTTTGCCCTTTTGGAGTGCTTATTGTTTTACTACTAATTGATTTCTGTTCGGATTGTGTTAATTAGGTGTATTCCTAGTGTAATTAGCCTTGTTGCACATAAGAATGACTAAAGGTTCATTCTGTAGAGGAGAAGGGTTCTGCTTAGGGCCTGTTTAGTTCACTTTATAGTTTGAGTTTGGACCAAACCAAATGAGGCCTGATAACATGATAAGTATTTGGTGTGATTTTATATTTGCATTACATGTTGTTATACAACAAGGTTTTTTGTGCGAATAGGACGAGGATAATGTTACATATAGATGATATGTTGTCACAGTCAAATTTAAGTTTATTTTTGTTGTTGTTGTGAAGAAGAAAACATAGAAACCGAATGTTTGAGTCGGGGGTCTCTTGGAAACAGGCTCTCTACTTCCAAGTAGAGGTAAGGTCTGCTTACATAAACCCTCTTTAGACCCTACTTTTGTGGGATTTTACTGGGTTTGTCGTTTTTGTTGTTGTTGTTGTTGTGTTTATGACAGTCTTATAGGATGAGTTAATGGAATTTGCGTTTGTTTTTCAGAAGATGAGTGTGGTTGAAAGTGGTTGTTTGGATGGGATAACAAATGGGTGTGACAATTTCCCGGACTTGCTGAACATATTGGATTTCCCTGAGGAGGAGAGTTTGGAAGGAGACGAGTTGCTTGGGGATTGGGATGCTGATTTGTTGCAGTCCCTCGGACCAATCCCTTCGGATGCTTTGATGCTGTCTCCTCCATTGCCTAAGCCCAATGTTGACAATCGCTCTTTGAGGACAGCATTCAAGTCCAAGGCTTTTGTGAGTCTCTCTCTTTTTGTTTCTTTTTTACCGTAATTAATTGCTTCTGCTAATGGTCTTGCTGTCTTTTTTCACATAAATGATGTTTGTTGTTTGGGCTTAGTTGTCTGCTTTCTTCTTTTCGCTTGTCCAGGATTAGTTGTCCGCTTTCTATATTCATATTCGATAAAGATAATATGATGAATTGTCTAAAATGTCCTACAGATTGGGTGGGTATGAGTTACGGTTTTAAAGGCATGTAGTGTACTTGCATCGCTCTAGTAAACTCAACAAAGCTAGGAAACCTCTATCTTCACCATTAGATATAGTGTCAAACCCTCTTCTAGACCATCGTTCCGGTAAGAAAATCGTTCACTTAGGGCATGTTTGGAGAAGGCTTAGTCTATACCTTGAATATTTGTTTTATAGATTTTATGAAAATTGAAAGATCAACATTATATGTGGTTGTTTATTTGTATACTATATCAATAATCACCTTATAATTTCTTTTATAAACACCATATTGGGCCAATATATAAACCTTAGCCCTCTAAAAATCTTCACCCAAAGATCATTAGTTGATGATATTGATGATTTATGTTTCCCTTTCAGAAAACTTGCAATGTTTTGGCAATTTAACCCACAGCCTTTCAAGAAAATGTGACAAGTTGAGGAAAAAAAGAAGAAAAAAGACAGATGGAAAAGTGAAAAAAAGGAACAGATGAAACATGTAAATCATGCATACATGGAGAAATGAAATTTTTGGACAGTGTAATGTCATGTCTGCCCCTAATGGATTGAAATGGTGGTGTTTAATTTTAAGATCACCATGTATTGGATAAAAACCAGTCTCTGTTTCCAAGAAATACTACAATTCTTTTACCTAATTGCGCGGATAAGCAGAATTAACTGATTATGGCTACCAAACAGAGCCTTATTGTGGACGGAGGCTCCGTTTGGCATTAGCTTCAACATTTTGAAAATGTCATCCAACGTTAGCTTTTACCTTTAGTATTTTCCAAGCTAATTTGCATCATTAAAAGATTAACCTAACCTGTTTTTAGTATAAGATGTTAAAAAATGCTCTATATTTGATCACTTTTTCATTTGCTTTTCTTGTTCTTGATTTCCTGACCTGCCTAGAACCATAAGGAGGAAACCTCAGGTGCTACACTTCTCTATCCAAGTACATATTTTGAAGGCCGGAAGTCCCGTTTGTTCCAGACGCAAAGCCCGATATCCGTCCTAGAGAGCACCATTCCGATCAAACCCGACTTGCTCATCCCGGTACGCACCCGATCCAGACGTGCTCGGCCCACTCTCAATCCGTGGACTCTCATCCCTCCGCCCGTCCCTCCCGCTTCCCGCCCAAGGAAAAAGAGGCGAGCGAGGAAGATGATGTCATCACCATCATCACTCAACCAGGGCGCGAATTCATCGGATCAGCAACCATCCGGGGTCAGGAGATGCGCGCACTGCCAAGTCACCAAGACGCCGCAGTGGCGGGAGGGGCCAGCGGGGCCCACGACGCTGTGCAACGCGTGCGGGGTCCGGTACCGCTCGGGGCGGCTTTTCCCAGAGTACCGGCCCGTGGCTAGCCCGACGTTCGTTCCGGAACTGCACTCCAACTCACACAGGAAGGTTGTTGAGATGAGGAGGAGAGCTGGTGTGGAGGGGACAACAGCAGATGGTCAAGAATTGAAGATGGTGTGAGAGAGTGTAGTTAGGGGTAGAAAGGGGATAATGATATTTTATCAAACCATGTGTTTGTTTGTGTCCTATTGTTTGAGGTTAAGTTTCTTTAGAAGGGAGATGTTTGTGTGCTGATGATGATCACTCCAACCAGTTTTGTACAAATTTGTTGTGGACTAAAAGAGTTTGGATGTTCTTATTATTGCTTTTTTCAGGATTAAAAAATGTATACTTTCTGTCCCATAAATTTTTTTACCAAAACAAAAGTAATTTTTTTAAGGGTAAAAAGGGAAATTGTGGGCCATAGTATTCATTTTTTAAATAGGAGTAAAAATACTCGTATAAAAGTAGTATTTTAATCACCAAACTTTTACTTAGGGATGACAATGGGTCGGGTTCGGTCAGGTTTGAGTATATTGAAACCCGACCTAACTTAGGTCGGGTTCGGGTTTGATTTTGGCGGGTCGATTTTGGATATTTATTTTTTTGGTTCGGATTCGGTTTAAGATTTGGTCGGGTCGGTTACGGTCAGTTTCGGGTTTGAATACTAATTAAAGTATTCATGAAAAATTTAAAATTGAAATGCATTAGAAATTATAAATTTTAAAGATGATATAAAATTTAAGATATTAACAAAAATAATTATGACCAAATAACCCTTAAAGATGTCAAAGTACTCTTGTTTGTTCGGCATGCGCGAGAAGAGGGAGCGATTGCGGATTTCTGGTCTAGGAAGGCAAAATAGGAGCGGACGATGGCATTTTGGGCACATGTCTTTTCGGGGCAGAAATGGCACTTGGTGAAACTAGAGAGATCAAACGGCAACTGTTCGATCTCGTTGGGGGCGACGTCAGACTAGAAATCCGCAACCACTCTGTCTTCCCGCGCGTGCGGAACAAACAATATTAAGTTTCGGATAATAATATATGGAGTACAATGAAAATAGCACATGTGGGACATACAATATTAAACCATAATAAAAAATGAAACACAAAAAATGCAATAAGTTTTAAAACATTAAAAATATGTGCATAAAAATACATGGAATATAGAAATTTAGAGTTTTTAAAAACTTATTGAAAGTCGGGAACATGTTCGGTCGGTTCGGATACAGGTCGGGTCGGTCAAATATACTAACCCAAAACCAACCCTACAAAAGTCGGGTTCAGTTTAATTTTTTCGGGTCGGTTTCAGATATTTAATTTTTCGGTTCGGATTCGGATATAATAAGCTCCGATCGGGTCGGTAAAAGTCAGATTCGGACGGAATTGCCATTTCTCATCTCTATTTGAAGCATTACATCAAACACTTTGCATTCAATTAAGGGTACTAGATTTTGGGCCTTTTCTCTATTATTATACGTTATTTATCCGAAGTATGTTCTAAATGGGTTCCAATTTTGGGCCTTTTCTCTAACCCGAGTACACCAATCTAAACTGATTTTTTATTTTGGGCTTGGGCCTGGGCTTGAGTTCTTTTCTTAATGTGTAGTGTGTGTCTATATATTTGTGTATGTAAAGATCTCATCATATGATTATGAACTTTGATATGATTTACCAAATACAACAAATCCAAGGTAGTGTTTGGGAACTAGAATTCATTTGAAATCTTTGATATTAATTCCAACATTTGAAATTGCATAATTTCAAATTCACAATGCTGTTTGGGAAGTCAGGGTCCGTTTGGTATACAAAATTGACGGAATTGGAATTGAATTGGGAGTAGAAATTTCATGGAATTGATTTGGATGGAATTGAATTCTCCAATTCCAATTCATTTTTGGCACTAGCAATTTTAAATCTACATATTTTTGTGCAACCAAACTGCAGAATTGTTATCTGTCATTCCAATTCCATAATTTGAATTTCGTGTACCAAATGGAGTCTCATAGAATATCAATTCTAGATTTTGAACTTTTAAGTTGGCAAAGACGGTAATGAAAGCGGTTTATATGCATGGAATTGTTATTATATAAGGGGAGATCAATCTTTCATTACAAGTCTTAAATTAAAAAAAAATTGAGTTTGAATTTGTAAATGATATGAGGATGGTTGTGGATTTGTATTTGAGTTAGTTTTGAATTAGAAGAATTAGGTTCAAATCCAAATCCAAATTCTTTGAGTTCCCAAACAAGTAATTTAGATCAAATCTAGATTTGAAATCTAAATTCAAGTTCTCAAACATGTCATAAAGTTCTATAAAAATAAGATTTGGAAAAAGTGTTACGCAAACATTACCTCTACTCGAAAGTGTAGAGTTTTTTTATAAGAATCTTCTGCATCTGATTTGGTCTGACCTGATTGTAATAAAAATTAGAGATATTATTGGTTCTAATAAAAATAATTAATAAGTAACAAATAAGATGAAGAGAACAAAGTCCAATTGTGCTAAAAACATCATCGGTTCAGCCTTTTTGTCTCAAAAACATTTTTGCATTTGATTCTTTAATCACTAATGTAATATTTTGATCATTAACTATGTTTATACCTAAATACATATTATAGAAAGTGAAATTTGAACTAAATAGGACTAAAACATAAGTCATTTCCTAATCTAGGATTTGAAACTTTTTTATTCCCTAAATAGGACTTAATAATATCTAGTGGGAAGAATAATGTGCAGTAATGATGTACATTTAATTGAACAATGACTAATTGATAATGACCAAAAGTTCTACATTGGGAAATAAAAATATATAGTCTTATATATTGAGAAAGTCATTATGTTTTAATCCTATTTGGGTAAATTTCTCAATATAGAAAACGAGGTCGTGAAAATGATTTTGTACATTTTGGAGGTCGGACACTATTTATTAACTACATATTTCATTTGTCTCAAATTTGTTTTGATATTCCCTTTTTTAGTTATCTCAAATTAATATTCATAATCCTTTAATTTTTAATAATTTAAAGGATATGTGTGTTACAACTATTTTCTTTGTTTTAAACAAATTTCAGTCACTTTCCTTTCACTTTTTAAGAGTATTTTAAATAGTGCATAGCTAAAATGTTACAAATAATCTGGACAAGTATTGCCTTATGGAATTTGTTCAAATTATGGAGGATTTCAAGAAATGATGATGAAGCATTTGAAGACTAAAATCAATATTCAAATACTAACATTCAAGAAAATTTTACGAAAAATATGAGACCTCAATTGGACGGGGGTTAGGGGTAAAAATCGTCAATTTTTCAAATGATACACCGTAGGGGTCCAATTGAAGTCAATATTATAGCATGACATTAACTCCTAAAGTCAGGTCTGATTATACTTGCTGCTATTTCACAAATTATCAATTGTATCTAAAGTTACAAAGCAGTACCCTGAATTGATATTCCAACATAATTAAATTTCATTCTTCACAAGAGATTGCTTATTATTAAGCTATTTCAATTCCTTCTAAATGTAGATATATAAGAATTCCTAAGTCGACATTATTAATCTCTATACTTATTTGGGAGTCTTAAAAAAGCTTTAATGTTTGCCTTGTTGCATTTAATATAAAATGGGAATCATTAAAACAAAACTAACAAACTAAGTGTGAGGAATATAATCTCAAAACCAAAGGTTATATCTTAGACAATCCATCCACTCTTTGGGATGATCAAAGCACTTAATATGGGTAGCACTAAAACAAGTGTAATCAATCTAAACACTAAAGATAGACCGGGACCATAAGATATTTTGTCTGAATTTTTATTAAACATTTTAATCTAATCGATTAGTAGTCACTTTAACTCAAGACTTTTTGGGAGCATTTTTAATAGTGATCCGCGTTGTATATCATTAAAAAAATTATTTAAAATAATTATTTTAAGTACCGTGATCATCAACTTCACGAATGTTATTGTTGATGCAAAAATAAAACGTCTGCATTTTGTTTTCTGTGTCTATCTTTAAAATGTCTTGCGAAAGCTGATTATCGATATCACGTCGTTTCAATATAATTCTCTCTATCTTATTCTGACGTTTTTTTCGTTTCTCGTATACGAATAGCGTAATAATAAATTAAAGAAAAGGCGAATATATATCCTCTTGGCTTCAATTCTTGCTCATCTTTTAGAGTGCTTCTTACGTACTACAATATATATATATATATATATATATATATATATATATATATATATATATATATATATATATATATATATATATATATATATATAATGTTAAACAGATGAAATACGTGTAGCAGTAATATACGGAGTAGTAGAGTAATAAATAATAATAATAATAATAATAGTAATAATAATAATAATAATAATAATAATAATACCCAGGATTATATTTGCCACTTCCTTTTGCAGTCCCACGTGTCCTCCTTCACCGTCTTTCTTTTTCATTCGAGATTTTATTAAGACTTTTTAAAGGATTTTTATGAGTAAATTTACCCTCGTAATTGGTGAGAGTTTTCATATTTAATCTTTTATTATTAAATATTATGTTCGTAATTTTGACAATTTTTGTACTCTCAGTCATGTTGTGTTAAACTAAGAACTAAAAGTGTAGTATCACATCGATTCTATGTCTAATATTGTGTTGTGATATTTTACATCATGACAAACAACACAACAATAATAATTATGGCGGTGGACTAGGATTCAGATTAGAAGTGACATTTGTAGATTATGACTAAAATAGACACCAATTCTAGTTGACAAACGATACATCAGCAGTAACAATTGACTATGATAAGAAAGATATATAATCGTTGATAAATTATACTTACAGTCCTCAATTTAGCACCAACGTCATAAATTATAAATACAGAGTATAAAAAAAGGATCACAAAAATAATATTTGATAATAGATAATTAATTATAAAATTTCTTATTATAAATGACCAATTATAACATTTACTCAGGATTTAAGAAGCATTTTTGTTGTTGGTTTTATCATTGCTCCACCCTCCTATAAAATTTATGACAATTCGACTTTACGTAATTAATTACTCTCTCCGTACTTAAATAAACTTTCCTTTTCGTTTTTTTCTTTGTCCATAAATAAACTTCTCTTTTCCCTTAAAAAACCCCTTTTACCCCTTACTTTTTCATATCCTACCTATCACATCATACCTTTTTACTAATAATCTACATATCACACCTTACTTTTGCACATCACATCAAGGGTATTTTTGGAAAGTCAACACAAAAATATCTCTCTCTTAAATTCCCAAAAAGTCAAAAAGGGAAGTT